TATATATTCATTGTTTTTCCACTAAAACATGGAAGAAGTGCTAAAATCTTATACTTTACACAAGCCAGCTGGACAAATCTTAAATAAAACACGACAATAGTTAGTGCTCTTTTCTCACTTGGCTCATGCAAACATTAATCTCAGCTGCGACCTAGATATTTTCTTCCTAACAAGATTCAAAGGAAATAAAACTGTGCAGATATTGTCAAACATCAGATTCAATTTGACACCGCGTTCGACAAAAAGACAAGCGAGCTATCCAGCTTTAGCTTCTTTCTCCAAATCTGTATCAAGATTTCACAAACAGATTTTAGATCATATGCTGTCACTTGCAGCTTGAGTTTTGCAAGCTGATGTTCAAAGAGAAAAAAAATCACTCATAAATAAACATGTTTTCATGTAATTTATTTGAAAAGTTGAAGAGTCTGCAACCAGTTGACGGTGATAAATGGAATAAATATGACCAGGAATACATTTAGAAGAAATGCCTTTTTTTTTCCTTTTTCTGACAGTCATATAATATGATAGAAGTTTGGCTGCACCAGTTAGTTTTGCTGTGCCGAACAGTTTTCCACTTCCCTTCTTGGAACGCCTCTGCAGCAAACCTCATTGTCATTCACCCACTAATGAGCCTCTCATCTCATAGATAGACCTCAGCTCCCTCAGCTGTTTGTTTCATTTTGGATGACCAGTCCAAACCAGAAGCTGTAGCAGATGAAGAACCAGTTCTTGTTCCACTATGGCAAACTTACAGAGTAGAATCGCCAGCAGTAGGATGTAGGATATTTACCTCATGAGAGATTAACCAATAAGGGAACATTATTTTATGCATTTATACATTTCAAACTCCGTGTTCAAACACCATTGACAGGTATTTACTCCTAAAGTCCCTGTCACACTAGACAACTTATGCCAACTTACGAAACATTTTTTATGTCTAAATTTCTAATAAAATTTATTTATTTGATCAATTTGTTTGAATTACATTAAACGCACACTGAAAAGAAGCTTCCTGTTGATTTTTTTTAATTCCATCTTCAATGTCTTTAAAATGTTAATAAGTTGTCATAAGTTGTCTAGTGTGACAGGGCCTTCATATCAACTTAAACTTAGCACAAAAAGTAAGGAAATTTGTGCTTGGTTTATTATTTCTATGTTGCAATTGCTTCTTGACAATAAATCGTATATTGTTAGAAACCCTGGGAATTTCTCTTTTTAATGGTGCCACATTTGTAAGGAACATGCATTTGTGGGATGAGCAGTAGAGCTGAGTATGTGGGTAGTGTAAATGAAAAATTAGTCAAATCCTTTCTGCCAAACAGCTTTTTTATGTTGTCATTGTTTGCAGCTTTTGGTACACCCGTGTGCTGCCATTCAGGTACCTGGTATAAGATTTATTTCCAAGAAGCAGAAGAAATAATTTACGAAACACAAATTGCCTTACTGTTTGTGCTAAGTATTTTTTGTGTGAAATATTTTAGTTATTTCTAAGCATTTTATAACACATTAGTCTCAGTGGCCATAGCTTAATGGTTTATTTTTGCTTCTTACATGCAGTAATTAGGAACTCAAAAATACGCCTAAACCATGCCACTGTATGTGGGTTTATTCAATTTTTCTCCCCCATTTTATTTTTTTTCTTTTTTTTTTCTTTAGAGGAGGTGTAAAGGAATTCTGGGTGAATACTGTAAAATTTCTCAACTCTTTCATAATAAGCATGGCTCGTCCTCCATATCCTTCCTAAATTGGATTCTGAACCCCGAGCTTTGAGCAGACCTCCCACTAAAACCAAGTTGTGATTAAATATTCCGCCACTGCACATAGCTAAAGACAAATGATGTGCCACCCTCTGCATCCCTTATCGAAAGCCAAACTGCTGATTTGTTGTGAGTCTGTCAGTGAATTGATTAAAAGTGCGGTAACGCAGCCACTCAATCCCAGAGACAGCATGATGAACTTGAGTGAACCCTGCTTGTGTAATTGATTATTTTTCCTCTAATGAGACTGCTGGTTTATCTGTGAAGAGGAGAAAGGTGTTGATCAGACCCTTTGTTAAAAAGAGGCTTTTAGAAACATCTATTGATTACATTTTCTTCAGTGTTTAAGGTTCCTTACAGGATCACAGGAAAATGAAATGATTTGTGCTTATAGATTTCAACCATTGTATTTTACCACTAAATTACCAGGGATACACTCTCAGAATGGATTTTTATCATTATAAGTATCAATATGACTTCCAGTAGAATTTGGAATTTCCTTCTATTACAGAGATTTCTATTAATTCATCAATTTAATTTGATATTGTTTATGTGAACAACATGCTTCACTCTGTGCTGGCAATTTTAAAATGTGTTCTGCATGTCCTCCATGTATCACCCACCGCTCATAAAACAAACAAGTACCCGGGCGGAGTTGGATAGGTGTTTGCTCAGCTGTCAAGATGGCCTCTTATTGATCCCAAACAAATGGCCAGTTGCACATCAGTCCTGCTAACGAGGTGAATCAAATTCTCCGTGGGTTCCAGAAGTGTAGCTGTGAAAGAACAGCAAGCCCTAAAAAGAAAATGGTTGCCAGGGGGAGAATGCCAGAGCGAATTTGTGAGATAGAGCCAGCCAGTCCCATAACATGTCCACTCTGTATGCATGTAGTCTGAACAGATGGGCGCTACTGCAAGACACCCCAGGCAACTGAAGCAATTTCCAAAAGGCCAGTCAAGCCCAGCATAAAGAGCAAGATAGAGTGGGAGAGGAGGACAAAGAGATGCTGGAAAGCTTTTCATTTTAGCATTACCATGGCTACCCACCAAAAATCTCCAAGAAGCATTGTTACACTTTAAAATGAGCGAGCTGTCTAAATCTAACTCTGGCTCTTGATCTGTGTGAAATTGGATAGATGTGTTGTGTTTGTAAATAGTTGAGGGATTCCAGTGCTCACTGCAGTCATTTAGTTTGAATTGTTTAGGGTTTGGTCTTATACCTCAGGATGCCAGACTGCTTGAAATCCAATCAACAAGAAAGCAATTTCAAATCTGACATTTTACAGTTAACCTCTAATTCCTCTCTCAAGCTAATATTCTATTAAATCTCTAACCAAACTATAAAACTAACTACTGCCAGATGCCAAAGTGTGCAGAAGGTATTATAGTGGCATAGACTAAGCTTGTTAAACACTTAAATGTAGTTGTTAGTATTAAACCAAACTGCATATAATCAAAAACTTAAACAAGAATAGCACATTAAAAAATCTTTAATGTATGTGTGATTGTATTTCTGTTCTTCATCTTGTTTGTCTTTCAGGTCAAAAACCCATTCTACAGACTTCTCCTCCAGATTCTCCACAAGGTCCTGGGGTAAGAAACCTATTTCACTCAGAATGTTTTAGATTAAAATTTAGAAGATTTTTATTAAAAAAAAAATAAAACATTGGTCTACTCAAACTCTTTCCCTGTATTTAAAAGGCACAATATCTGATGTCAGCAGGTCTGTTGCTTCATTTTCCATTAAGAAATGGTTGGTTTGCTTCTTCTTTTATTTCTTAAGAAGAATATCTGACTCTTCAATGATTTTTTTATGTCTTCAAAAATGTTTTAAGTAGGTTTCAAATATACTGTTTGTATATACTATACTGTGGTACAGCTGAAGGGTGATCAGCATTAGAATGATTTTTTTGTGAATATGCAAAAAATGTATGAAATGTGCAGTTCAAAGCTGACACAACACAACACGTGATGTTTGATGATGGTGTGATCATGGTATGACAGTTTCTCATGTAGTAGTACTGCAGAGCTTGAAAGTCATGAACAATCATCAAAGGTCACTGCAATGACCTTGTCTGTCAATTTTCTTCTACTTATCGGAGTCGGTTCATGGGGGCAGCAGCCTAAGCAGAGAGACCCAGACTTCCCTGTCCCCAGCCAGTTGGGCCAGCTCATCCGGGGGAATCCAAGGTGTTCCCAGGCCAGCTGAGAAGCATAGTCCCTCCAGCTTGTCCTGGGTCTTCCTCTGGGCCTCCTCCCAGTGGGACGTGCCCAGAACACCTCATCAGGGAGGCGTCCAGGAGGCATCCTAAACAGATGCCCGAGCCACCTCAACTGGCTCCTGTCGACGTGGAGGAGCAGCGGCCCTACTCTGAATCCCTCTCGGATGACCGAGCTAGGGAGAATCCAGACACCCTGCGGAGAAAACTCATTTTGGCCGCTTGAATCTGTGATCTCATTCTTTCGGTCACTACCCAAAGCTCGTGACCATAGATGAGGGTAGGAACGTAGACTGACCGGTAAATCAAGAGCTTTGCCTTCTAGCTCAGCTCTCTTCACCACGACAGACCGGTACAGCGCCCGCATCACTGCAGACACAGCACTAATCCGCCTGTCGATCTCCCGCTCCTTTCTTCCCTCATTCGTGAACAACACCCCGAGATACTTAAACTCCTCCACTTGGGGCAGGACCTCCTCCCCGACCTGGAGAAGGCACCCTACCCTTTTCTGGCTCAAGACCATGGTCTTGGATTTGGAGGCACTGATCCTCATCCTGGCCGCTTCACACTCGGCTGCGAACCGCTCCACTGCAATGACCTTTAATCTTGAAAGTTTCTCCAAAATTCCCCAAATAATTTTCATTAAGTGCTTTGTATCTTAAAGCACCTAAGTTGTCCTTGAAGCTTCTGAATAATCCAGAATATTGTTATTTAAATATTTCACCATGAGACAAATGAACAAAGATGACCAAGAAAGACAGGTCGGAGAACTAAAACTGTTAGTAATTGTGCATTAAAATTAAATTTTGCTTGTTTATTTATTTTTTGAACTGACCAAGAACTACATAAGATGTGAAAGGTGATTAAAGAAAGAAGTCTTGGGGTATTGTCATCACGCAGTGCGGGTTTTGTTATATAAACATTAGAGATGCGTAAGTCAGGGCCATTTTAGTCAGCTCTCTGGACCAGTGGGAGGTTTTGTATAAAATGGTGTCTGCAAATAAATATTCAAGTCTGAGAACAGAATCAGTTTCCTGCATCTAATTCGGGCTTTCAATTGAACATATTTCTTACAAAACCATAAACCTGTTGGGATATCTTGGTCTCCAACCAGCTCTTACCTCCTTCAATAAATTTAATAATGTGTTTCAGTTGAGAGCTGGTCTGAAAACGATTCCTGCCTAGATCAGTCTTCTAGGACCCCATGCGCATAGAAACTGGTCTCCCATGTTGTTCAGACAAGCATTATAAATCTCCTGTAACCCAAGCTTACACTGTGCATGGCTTGTCCACAAATACGGCAGGCCAGACCTATAAATCTTGTTAAATTCCTGCATAAATGTCTCATTTGTCCCAGATTTTCCCAGCAACAATGTGAGTAGGAGGTATAATTGACGAGGCGCTTGTTTACAAATATCTCTGTTTTCTCCATTTCACTCACCTGCATCAGATTCCAGAAATAATGTGTATGTCAAAATATCCTGCAGCAAGAGTTTTGCTGAATAACTAGCAAGGCACGCTGCGTGTGTGTGTGGAGGGGAGCGTGTGGGTGCATATCTGCTGGAAATGTTATTCTTGATGAAAGACAACAAAGTGTCTATTTGTGTCAAATGCAGAACACTTGACTCACCGCTGACACCTTGGAAGCAAAGAGAATACTGATGATAATTATGCCTAGTTGCATCCAATCAGATTAAATGTCACATTAACATCTGTTTATGTCAGAGGCTTCCCACGGGAAGCCGACTTAGTACCGATCGACTCGACAGTAACTTTGTCCTGAGTTTAATTGTTGCATGTTCATCCATCTGTGTCATCTGTTGTCAGCTAGTGTGACTTTAATTTAATAACTAGAGCCTTAAATCAACCATATGTATCAAAGGTATATGTTGTTGATTGTGTATACTGTGAGTCAGTTTGTTCAGACTGCACTAAACTACAGGGCGTAACCATCATCCTTCAGCCTGAGTAGAAGTGCCAGTAGGGACTGAGGGTTGTGATAAATGGTGCTCTCACAATAAGGATGAGGCTAGGGACACATGCATTCACACACAGTAACATCGCATCAGAGTGGAAGGAGGAGGATATCTGTTCTGTTTCAACGCTGGCTCTCTGGGCCGAAATGGGTCGGTTTTTCCGACTCGTTTTTAAATTGAGCCGGCAGGGGCTGCGAGCCATGGGAGTACTGCACCCGTGAACTCTACAAATTGACCTTATTTTGATTAAGCTGCAACGGTGAAGGAATCCTACAAGTGGGCAGCTCCCTGTGGCAGAGAAAAGACGTCTGTGGTCATACTGGGCAGCTCCTGGGGGATGACATTAAAAGAAGGCGCTTAACTGGACAGACTCTTTTACACGCCACTCTCACGAGAATCGCATTCCCAACCCCTGTCCACCGAACAGGCAGAGTTAATTTCAAAAGAAATGAGTTTTAAATGTATTTTTACTGCCTGTTTTGGTTAGTGTCACTTTAATTCAATTCTTTATTATTCACTCTACAGATGACAAAATCCTAACATTAAATCATGTTGCCGAGGTTTCGAGTTAAAGTTCAACCGCTGTTTCCCAGAGGAAGCAATTATTTTTCCAACAGAGGGGATTCGCATGTCATAAAAGGAAGAAAAAAACATTGTCAATTTGATAAACTGTTGATGTAAATCTTGGAGGGGAAAAGAAAATTAGTGACCATTGTGGTTCCACGAGGCAGTTACAGGATAATAGCCCTCTGAATTCAAATTCGCCATCATTAGTCTGCTTTGCTAAGAGTAAACGTTCAGATTTGATCAGCCATAATCATAATTTGCAAAACTGGCCCAGGGTTTTTCTTTCACAGGGCTGTTTCACTGAGTTAAAATGTAAATGGCACTAAGTAATAGGGGCTCATTCATAAAACAGTTGGGCGAAATGGCCGCTCTGACCAGTTCGTTTTTATGTTCCTTCTAGCTGTTTAAAAATCACAGATGAAGCCTGCCAAGCCCCTCGCAGGTGTGTGTTTTAGAAATAAAACGAGTTTCGCCGAACCAAAAGAGGCATGGAGCTAAACTCGGATGTGCTGACGTGGAGTGCAATGTGTGTCGGAAAAAAAAGTCTTGTCACTTAAAAGAAAAAAAATTAGCCTCTTGCAAAAATAATTAGCCTCTTGTATTCGACTGTTTATTATGTATTGAGAATAAAAGTGCATTAAATGTTTAACAAAGTAGCATTTAGACAGTATCATAACAGAAAGAGTAAAAAAAAAATATAGTTTTTAACAAAACAGAAAGGCCAAAAGAAAGAAAGCCAGGTTTTTATCTGTAAATATTTAGAATAATAATAATAGTATATAATAATAATAATAATAATAATAATAATTTTATCTGTAAATGTTTGCTGATGTGTTTCAATGCGAAATGTGTGAACAGAAAATTGTTTTGCAGCATCTTCACCACATTAAAGGTGTCTGTATTTTAGATTTTAAGTTTTAAGAAAGGCCCACCTCTTTTAAAGAGTTGAAAACATTAAAAAATACCTGATTAGGTTAGGTTAGGTTAGGTTAGGTTAGGTTAGATTAGATTAGATTAGATTAGATTAGATTAGATTAGATTAGATTAGATTAGATAGACCTTTATTGTCATTGTCATTTTTAGGTTTGTTGTAAATAACAGAAAACTAAACCTTCTACATTCAGAATCGTGTTTGAAAAAACATTTGAAGTGTCTATTATTGCCTGATATTTACAGCATCAGATGGCTGCCCAGAACTCTATGGAGTAAAATAAAACTGGGAATGTTGTGTTAAGCCTTGATTTGTACCCATCTTACAATTCATCATCACTCTATGGCAAATTCGCAAATCTGTCAAAGATGTTGACATGTAAACACAATTTTTGGAATTCTACATTCATTTTCACTTTTCAAGACATTTTACCCCTTCTTCGACATGAATGTCAAGTGCTGATAAATCCGCAGCATCCTTCCCTCACATGGCTGAGTAAACAAGCTGTACGCTTCACTTCTGTTTGCTGGCGTTGTTGGATCTGATGACTTTCTTCTGCTTGCATAAATTATTGATCCTTGACACTCTCCATTTGCCACGGTGCGCGGCGCTAAAGAGGCCACGTTATTTATATGCAGCATTTGGAAGCGCGGCGGCGTTTGTTTGCCCGTGTTGATGATCATTTCTCTCATGAGTTCTCACATCGGGCTGCGGTCGTGTTTCAGGGTCGTGCTCGTGTTTTGTTGACCCAGGTGGGCTTGTAGTTTGTGGGCCGAAGGTGAGACCATGTTTCAGTTCGTTGCTGGCAGAGGACTTGTTTGGCAGCTGGCACAGGCTCAGCCGAGTCTAATTTTCACCCTCCTTCATGAGGACTACATTCTTGTTATCAAATGTTCACAT